GCACACAGAGGGCATTTAACTGAGGGAGGAATGGCACATGGACTTGAAAGTGCAGGGAGAGGTACCAAGAGAGACACATAGAAGGATGACAGAGGAGAGAAATACAGGAGGTTCTGGGGGAGACAGAGAGAAGCTACCATGAAAAATTAAAGAGGGAAGGTGATGAAGATGGGGGGGGGGAGAAATGGGACACAATGGAGAAGAAGAAACAGAGAGTGAATTAGAAAGCAGAAGTGACAGGCAAAGAGAGCACAAAGTGTGTCTGACAAGGAGACATTTTCTTCAAAAGTGACAGACAGCTCAAAGTGCCCAGCAAAATGTGTGCTGCACTGAAACAGCACAGCTCAGCCCATCTCTGGAGGTAAGATTACGGGCCTGAATCCTCCTGCAGCCAGAAGTAGCACCAAATCTCCTGTAGCGTTCTATCATTTTGTCAGAATAAGAAACTATTTTCCAAAACTCAAAACCGATGCTTTCCTCCATATATCATACCACAAATGCATTCAGTGATATAACATACTGTAGCCGAAGCGATCATCTGAGAAAATAGAAGAAACTATGGAGATGGAAATCATGGAATAACTCTGACTATGATACTTGCACGGTTGTGCTGATGGATCCTGAGCTAAGAGGGGGATCAAACTAAGAACAGGAAGGTGCTGGTTTTCACTTTGACTCACACACCCAGCTTGAAACATTGACTTTTTTTTTTTCTCAGAAGGTCTGTTACCGGCGGAATGACGAAGAGTTCGCTGCCCATGAGGTCGAAAAGGCGCACGGTGCCGGTGCTGTCAGCGTAGGCCAGCAGAGTGCAGTCATAGCTCCACGCCACCCTTCGCCACTGGGGATTTGGGTCCTTCGGCACTGTAGCAGGTGATGAAACAGAACGTAAAACAGAAAGGAAGAAGGACAAGACGTTCAAGAAACCAAGGATTACAAATTAAGTCAGATGAGAAACTCTGCGAATAATCCCTTGTGATCCGACGTGTGCTGATGATGAATATGGATGAGAGGAGTCAGATAAGGCTAACGCGACACATCAACACAATGTGCGCAAGGTCTGATCCTGATCATCTTGGAAGGTTACTCAAACGTAAAATTCAGTAATTGTCTATCAAAGACATGCACACAGACTTTCACACAAACACACACACACACACGTATTGGGAGATGAGGATAAAGGTAGAGCCAGAGAGAAAGGGGAGGAGAACGGAGACCATAAATTAAACTTTTATTGAAGTATAGACTACGCTTTAGCAATCTGCTGGCTCAGCTGTGCTGTGAGTGTAACCATATCGCTGTGATGAAGCACATCCGTGCCTGCTGGCATTTTCTCAAGGCTTCGCTGTCATCCTTCCCTCTGATAGAAGAGCCTGGGCAGTCTGACAGGCCTCTGATCCTGAGCCGGTTTTGAATACCTGATCGCCACATTAAACAGTATGAAGCGGTTGGGGGGTAAATGGGTGAAGACTTGTGCAAACATGAGCACAAACTCAGCAGAATAATCATTCAGGCATTAAACTAGATGCAACTTTTAGCGCAGTCTCAGATTTTTGCGGTTGGAGAACAGTGTGAAACATAATATGATACCACGGGTGCTATGTCTAAGCAATAAATTTCTAAAAAGGAAGTTATGTTTTTGTTGATATCACATAACAGCGCTATTGGCGTTTTCCTGTGCTGAATTTCTTGGCTGCAGAGTGCTGCTGCAACCCCTGGTGGGCAATACTGCAAACTAATGGAGGCGTTGGATATTGTATGACTAGAATTTTAAATGAAGAACAAAGGGAAGAAGTGGGAGGCGAGACAGACAAAGGGAGAGAGAGAAAAGGAGAGAAAGGGGGGACGCTGAGCGAAAAAGAGAGGGGGAAAACAATGAATCCGACACACTGAGAGACACAATAGCTCCCCAGATTTGAAGGCCTAAGTATCAGAGCGTACCTTAGGAAGGAAGTGCGCGATTTAACACACCTTTGAGACACTCAGCTTAGGAGCAGACAAGAACATGTAGCCGTTATGAAAACCATAAGTACCAAGTGCCTCCGCTACTCTTTTCTAGTTTTCTTTTACTCTTTTTGGCTCCATATTTCAATCTTTTTTTTCCCCCCTCTCACACTGCCTCTCTTGCCATCTTGTCTCCCATTATGAATTGTATACAGTATGTTGTTCTGCAGTTGAGAGGGCTCCATTTCCACATAGATGGCTTTTTTGGGGAGCTGGAAAATTGGATGCTACTGTCTATTTTTCTAGTGATGGCAGATGCTGAAGTTGAGGAGAATTGCACCCAATGACCCAACAGAAGCCTTCCATCTAAAGCCTTGCAGATGCATTTATCAGAACTCAACTCTTATGAATTATGCACACAGGTGAGAGACAACTCCGCTGTAACAGAAGCAGGCAATGAGGACGAGTTGAAGAGGGGGTTGGGGACTGGACTGGCAGAGTGATACACAGGTGTGGACGCATTGAAACGAACACACAAAAACGACTGCACAAGAAAAAGAAAAGGCGGTAAAGCACACACCACACACACTTATCCATTAAACGCAAATGCCATTAAAGGCAGGATCACAGTGAAATCCATTAGGACAAATCTCCGTGAAATGAAATGAAGTAAAAGAAAAATGGAGGGAAAAAAGCGATGACATGGATTGAAAAAGAGTAGGGAGGCTAAGTTTTACACAGGCCCAGGGGCTACTGTTATCCACACTTTGAACCATTAACGGCCCACAATGACAACTAGCCGGAACAGAACAAATATAGACACAATGCAGACTGAGAAGGTGCGGCAGAGATGACAAAAACAAAAATAAAACATGAAAAACTAATGAAAAAGAAAATATGGGCACGAAACTGGAATTCAAAATATGTTGTGATTTGTTTGCCATTTTTAAACACAGCTATAGGTCCAAAAAAATAAATAAATCACTGCCATTTTGTTAGGTATACATGTTGAACTGCTTGTTAACGTAAATATCTCATAACCCATAAATCACATGGTAGCAACTAGGGCTGTGCGATATGACCAAAATCTCATATCCCGATATAAGAATTCGTCCAGATAACGATATAAATCACAAA